AATATCTCTCCTTGTTTTCCCGCGCTATAATATACACATGTACTTTGTCTGTATAAGACATCAAATCCTCATTCATCCTTTTATTCCTTTTCCTTCCATTGGTTTTATGCGTTTGGGTTTTCTGCGCTTATTTCATCTTCCTATCGGTTTAATTACCCAAGTTTCTGGTTTCACTCCCAATAAACTACAATTCAACTCGTGTCTTCACACCGTTCTTCAGCTTCAATCAACCACATTGGAATAGGACTCAACTCTTATCAAAGGACCAACCTTTCAAAACAGAGTTGCAATCCCTCTACTAAATACCTCCTAAGAATCTATTAGAATAAAACTAACAAAAAAAAAAAACTTTCACGACAGTCGGCAATAATATATTTGTAATCGAAGAGAAGTTGGGCTTTTTTATGTTGGAATTTAAGTAAGTAATTTAATTTGATGAAAGTCCTCAACTTCTCCTCTAACTCTTTCTGCTATGTTAAAAATGATATAAATGTATAAATTAATGCAAAAATACAAATTTATCAGTAGAACTAACCCTGATAATGCTGCCGGCTCGCTGAGCAACATTTACTGATAACGCTACCAACTGGGTTACAAAACAGGAACCTTTAAACATTTCTTGCTTCTTTTCCAAATCCGTGGCATTATCTGACATCTGAAAGAATACAAATTACTGATAATGAAATGCAAAAGAACGTTAAGAAACAAGGAAAGTGAAAAATAAAAGATAAGGAAATTAGGGAGAAAGAAATATGCGATAGGAAAGAATTTCAAGAACCCGTTTCTCAAACTGTAGTGGGTCCACCCAATCAATGCCGCTGGATGGGAAAGATCTGCACTGCAAAAGTCGATAAACTGTGAACTATAGAACGGTCCGTTGCATGTTGTCAGAAAAAAGTGATGGTATGAGGAGCTAACGAAAGTTTAGAAGCCAAACTTGAAATAATTAGAGAATCTTTTGATGTCTCAAAAAAATGACCCTGGGCAAGCGTTCACTTTGCCAAATGGCTAGTTAGATGATTGAGCAGCGCTTTTAGTTGCTTAAGTGAAATATTCCTTGTAAAATGTAACTTCTTGCTTCAACTTATAGAACTGCACTGTTTCGATAGTTTTTAGTTGGTTAATTTCGACAGAATTATAACCATCCAACTATTATTCAGGAATGAGATTCGCCTATGCATCGCTCAAAACTGTAGAAATTATTAAGGTGTAATTTTTTCGCTATTTTTCTCATTTGAAATTGAAGAATGGTACTGATTTTCCTGCCATAATAAGCTTTTCTGTTATATAAAGCCCTCTCAAAAAGTGAAGTCTTGAAATCAAAATGGCAAAATTTCATTCCAATTTTCTATTGTCCTAATCCTACATTGTAAAAATCTTTGAAAAATCTATAGGATGGAACACAAAAATATACAAGAGCATAGAATAAAATATCTTCCAGCTGAATTATTCAATAAGGACAACAACAAACAGAATTTGTGCACAAAAAGCCGCTTTCCATTTATTGAATTCATTGAGTTTCTTGTTGCTTTTTTCCATCGAGTATGAATTTATGAAAATTCGTTGGTCGGAATTCCCATTCCAAATCAAATTAGCACTCACAGAACATTTTGTTCTTTCCCTGAAGAATAAGTTTTACTCCTGATTTTTTTGATATTTCGGGAAATTATTTAAGCATTTTATTCAAATAGTGTACGGGTTTTCTTTTTTATATATTTTTGCAGTGAATATTTCAAGCTGCATCCTTAAGTGAAATGGGCGTAAGCATCATCAAAAAATTAATATTTGTATGTGAGAGATGCAGAATATGTAATCCTTATTATGAAAAATGCCTAAGATGTACACAACTGTAAAACCATTTTCACAAAATAAAATAGCTAACTGTTTCATTTTCCAATGCAGCATACCAAATGTGATATCCAGAAAACACGAAGTTGTGTATTTTTGAAAATAAATGACGGAAAACTGTAACAAAAATAGAGTGTTAGTAGTTCTGTTTTTTTATATAATGATATAGTAGAATGCTCGCAACACCGAAATTGTAAATATTTGGTGTTGAACTTAAAGCTATGCGAAAAATGTACTTTTAATTTTCAGCGGATCAGGTCTCATTTTTTTCACTTCCAAACTTCTAATTACAGTTCTACAGACTCATCGTTTGTTCCACATAATTTAAAATCGGTTGAAACCATCTGAATTGGTTATCTACTTGTCCTACACATTCATTTCTTAATTATGATAATGAATTTTATAAAGAGAAAATAAGCGCCTTCATTATCCTTAACTACTAATAAACTTCTATTAATGAGAGAGAAATAAATCTGTTAAAAGTAAAATTTATTTCAACTTAATAACTCACTCCCTCAACTTCTCTTTGATCGGGTAAATACTTTGCAATTGATTAATATCGTCGGACTCACTAATGAAGCAAGATTATGTACGTAAACTTTCTCAACACATAGTTTCGAATCAATTTCTACTTTCCACAAATACGTACCACAATACCTATTTTGTAACCGAAAATTGCGACTCTCTCAAAGAGACTAAAAGAAATAATGAGGTAGCCGAACTCCGATCATATGTGTAAAACAAAAATCTTGAAAGAGTTTAAAGGTTAATCCAATTTTTTGCTACCCAATACCAGGAATATATGGTTTACGCGAGAATTTCATATAGTGCATTCGAAAAAATCATGAAACATCATTTTTGTCATTTATACAAGACAAAATGTGAAATAACACCAGTCAAGCACAATGAGGCCTTTGATTTAGTGACAGAATTTTATATTTTTAACATTATGGCCAGTTCAAAGAACTGAAATCAACGATGATTACAGTTTACTAACTGAAGATTGTATAAGTTTTATTGAATCATACTTACTGGAAAACAAACAAATTCAAATGACTTGAAGTATTACGTATCAGAAAAGCAAAATACGTAAAACACGCCATCCAGAAGAAATGGATAAGTACTTCAATTAAAGTAATGTCAGAGAAACTTAAATTGAAATGGCCAGTTTTTATTCAGTGAATTATTCTCGATGAATTGAACAGTAATTCGTGCCTAAAATCTCGCATACATACAAGCATATGCGTAAATATAATTCTCATGAAGAGCATTGAGCGAAATGAAGAGTCTTATGCAGTTTTTTAAATATTCAATGTGATGAAGTATTATTGAACTTTTGACAAATTCATTGAAGGAAACAATAAAACTATTAACTGTATGGGTTATTTCATGATCGGAAAGGCAACGATAGTAGTCAAAGCATGTGTAAGAAGCCGTGTACTTTTATGCTTCTAGCTCTTTAAGGTCCAAGTTATTTTTAATGAAAAATGATATAGTGTGAGGTATTAATACTCATTCGACATTACAGCTGTGCTAAAATTTTCGTCTCACTTGAAATTGTTTCATTTCTCACAATGATAAAGAGTAGTTGCAAAAGAATTGTCATTGATATCTTACATACTTCGATGTACTCCATATTTCTCATACTTTATTATTTCTTGCATTCTCTGCAATTCCATTAATAATGGACAACTTTGAATCTTCATAAACTATGATGCAAAAAAAATTGCAACTTGCCATAATTACTGATTAAATTCATTACCTACAAGAAACTGCTTTATAGCATCATAAGTCTGCTGTTGGATTCTACTTTCTAGTAAATGTAAGCAAAAAATTACAGCTGAAAAAATGGCAATTATTGCAACTTGATTGATGATTAACCGATAATACAAGGAGTGAACAAATATTGGCTTTATTCAGAATGAGATGATGAACTGGAAGATTTTAAGCGTTTCCGAGATTTCTTCCGAAAAGACTCACCGTCCACACTGCCGCTTTCTTTTGATTCTTGTTCATCTCTGAAAATTGTTACCATTGCAAAAATTAACTTTCCAATCAGAACTGCTAAATCGGAAAAAGGAAATCCCGAGAGAAAAAATTCAAAGTCATGTTAGCCTTGGGTAGGGCCGGTAGTGGGTTAAATTCCAGTAGTTGAAATGAGATTATAAGATACAAGGCGACTTAAGTTCTTTCCCAATTGACTCCGGGACCAAATTTGAAAGAATGCTTACTGAAAATATTTAGCGCAAGAAAAATAAAAACAAGCAATCTTTCACACTTGGCCCAAAAATAAATTAAAAAGGAAAATTATACAAGCGTTATCTTGTCAATAAATTTTCTTGCACCTTAGTTTCCAAAAAAAAAAACCAGTACTTTTCTTTCTCAGTATCCATCATGTCAACATCAGTGCTTTCTTCTTTCTTCGGTCCATTACGTGCTAAAACCTTTTCCATCAGCCTTTCTCTCATGGCTGTTTCATCAGAAGCTGTTATCTGTTCTGGGTGATCTACCTCCATGTTTTCACCCTAAAAAACTTTTAATGATAAGAAAAATAAAGCAAGTTCTTCCTACTAGAAAAAATTTCCCAAACAAGACATGCATCAGCCTCGATATTAGTTGATACTAGCAATCTTCGTAAACTTCTGTACGCAAATACAATCAAGCTTATTTTGTGCATGAGTGGTTAGTTTACACCGCACAACACCAGTCATCTGAAAAAATCTTATATGACTTAACAGATATACTTTTAAGCTTAAACTAACATGTTCGATCTGTAGCTTCACTTCGGCTTTAACCGAACCACTTTTGCTATCACTTTTTCTACTACTCCTTTCACGCTCTTTTTCTTTACGCGAATTTTTCTTTCCCTTATCATGATCTTTCTCTTCTTTCTTATCACTCTTCTCACTTCGACTACTCCGTTCCTTATCCCTCCGACTGTTACTTTCACGATCCTTTTCCTTTTTATCCTGAAAATAAAACTGAAATACTAGAAAGCACTTCCTCCTATATGAAAATTCTCACAAGAATTCCTTTCCAGCCCTTTTTAAAAATATATTTTAAAAAAGCATGAACCTTGTTATCCTTATCACGTTCACGTCTGTCATCCTTCTTGTGCGGTGTTCGACTTCTGCTTCGTTTCCGTTCCTTCTTCTCTCTTTCTTTCTCCCTGTCACGTCGTTCCTGTAAATTAATTTCATGACGTTTTGCGCGTTTCAAAATTCTACAGTAACTTTAGAAAGTTATTGAAATGAAACTTTACCTTCTCTTTATCTTTCTCCTTCCTATCTTTTGAACGCGAAAGTCTTCGATGGCGAGAATGAGAACGTCTGCGGTGCTCGCTACAATAAACAGAACCAATGCTAGTATAAATTACAGAAGCTTTTCAATGATCTCACACTAATCTAATAAACTTTTTAAATTTTTTAAACCCAGCTTTCTGTCAGCTGAAAATCGATGAAATTTATGAAAACAAAAGAGATTACTTTATAATACAGAACAACTGATTTTTGTTTCTACCTACTACCACTGTTTTTCTTTGCGAAAAAAAATACCGTGATCTGCTACGTGAGCGTCGATCTTTAGATTTGCTGCGATGTCGACGGCGTGATCTAAATAAATGATTTTGTATTACACATTAAAAATAATTACGTAATAAATAATGTAAAAGTTTCAGCTGCTAGCTTAAACATACTTTGATCGAGATCGTGAGCGTCGACGTCTGCTTGAACTACGACTTCGATGGCGTCGAGGAGACCCAGACCGTCGTAAAGGCGAATAACTTCGGTCCATTCCTAAATTAATTCAACTGTAAAAAATGCCTTATATTTCTCTTTCAAAGAGATTTCCGCGCAGCACAAGAAAAGAAAGATGTACATGAGAATCAGCGACAATAGCTTCCACTGCAAAAAACTACTCAAGAAAATTGTTGATGATTCTCGACATGATTAACAAAAACAATAAAGAAATTATAAATTAAGAAGTATAAACCAGAGATCCACATTTGGGGAAAACAAAAGTTACCCAATCCTTGGTTCAGCTTACTGAGGGCATTAGCAGCTTTATCGGGATTTTGATTGACCCGAATTGCCTCTTCCACCTCTTGCAATGCCATGTCTGCTGTCTTTCTTTCCGGTTTGATTATAGCAACTCGCGAATGTTGTATGCTACAAATCATTTAAATATTCCAAAGATTTTGAAGTCAAAGAAAATCAATTACATCCCTTCAAAACCTGATCAGTTAAGAAGGATCCAAAATGATATTCAATATTCAAAGAACATAATTTGAGGGCAAATTTTAGCGTCTTCTAATCTTTTCTGAAATTTTTGAAAAATATTTTCCGGAATTATGACTCATCAACGTTCATTTGACAACTAAATCGAGAATATAAACTTAATAGTTCGGTAGATGGCATTACATATTCACTTAAAAATTCAGATATTTGAGGTAAAGAAATGAAACACTTCAGAAATCATATGAAAATAATAGAACAAACCGTAAACAACGACCCTTGAACTCGATGCCATTATTTTGCAGTGCAATGGGGACCGTTGGTTGGTTGGTAAACTCGATGTATGCATATGCACACGGCAAATTTTCAGTGCCGGATGTCAACCGAAGATACATCACCTTAAAGTTCAATTCTTAATTTACATCTCAAGCAAGAAAAATTCATGATCATGTTGCATAAAATGATCGGCAAAACAAAAAAATAAAAACACCCTTGTCATAATTATAACTTGAGTGCATATAAAACAATTCAGAGCTTAGGATGTTAAACTTTTTTCAATAAATTTTGTTCAGCTAGCAGACAATGGCAAAATGTTTCTCAGTACAGGCAAAGTGGAAAATTATTGAACTTTTCTGAAGACTGGTGTGCAAAAATTCACTACATTTTTAACTGTTTATTTAAACCTGCAACCCGCTCATATAAAAACTGCCCATCCGCCACTTTTTTAAATAGCTTATGATTTTAAGACCAGAGCTTTTCTACACGTAATTAAGAATTTAAAAACCTGAAAATATACTTTACTGTTATAAAATACCGAAGCGTAAATTTTCATTATAGTTTTATTCAGCCTGTTTCCTATGATTCATCTTGAATTAATTTTTCAAATGAAAATAAGAACACACCTAACCGCCACAAAAATTAAATTTGCACACAAAATGAAAATAGAAAATATAAAATTGTAGAATTTATCCCAAAATGTAATCAATTGCTACATTCAAGTCATTGAGTTGTGGTTTCACGGCATTTTGAGAATGGCACTTAAACCTAAAAATGAAATGGAAGCTACGTCATCACTTTCTGCTCATTCACATAATGACTTCTTGCTATGTCCGCAATCAGAAAAGAATGAAAAGTTTGTTTTTCCAACGCTCATTTATTTTAGTTTATCTTTTTGAAAGTTTTAGTATTTCATGTAAAAGTGGAAAAACGTTAGAACTTCAACTTTCTGCAGGCAAACTTCTACGCGAAAGCTAAACTGCAGAATATGTTTGGAAGAAGACAACGAATCAAACTTAATTTCACCCTGTGAATGCCGTGGTTCTCTACAATTTGTACATACACGATGTCTGCAACACTGGTTCGATGTGATGCATACCAGAGTCTGTTGAAATTATACACAACTTACTGCACTTGGTGATGTTGCAAAGTTTCGTGAGAAGAGGAAAAAATCAGAAAGAAGGGAACGATAATTTTGCAACTATTTTTAAAATTAAACGATCTAATTATTTAAGCGCTGTCAAATATGCAAAACACAGTATGAACTCGAAGACCGTGGAATGAAACCTTATACTGAATGGACATTACCTCAACCACTAAGCGATGACTGGGAGGATCAACTGGATTTTAAATGCGCCCTATTTTGGCTTGTATTCATGTCACGAATTACCTACGTTGTACTCAAGTATGAACAGTTTTCTACTGTTCTTTCACTTTATCTATCTGAACAAATAACTTATATGAAACAATAACATTTTCCTTATATATATATATATGTATATATATTATGATAAGTGATACTAAATATATATGGTCAAAACGATGAATGGTGAGCATCAAAACTCGGGTGCTATATAGAATAAATTATGCATTAATGAGTTATCACTAAAGTAGAAAATTATTATCAAATTATGTACATCTGTTCTTTTTAAGACCACTTGAAGCTAGAAAAATCGATTAACTAAATGTTTATAGACCTTAATTTTTTTTTCCGAATTTCAGACATGGTATTAGAGAGACGCGTTTAGCAGTCATTCATATTGTAGGCGGAGGTATATTTTCATTTTATAAATCTCTTTCTTGATATTTCGCTCATAAGAATCCTATGTTTATAAATATATGTTTTAACAACATTTTCAGGAAAAATGTACTACGTATGGCTTCTCTCATTCTGTATAAACTTCGCTTATTACAGTGTAGTGATTTATGCAGTCATAAAAAGATGGAAAGAAATAAATTCTATCTACATTTGGAAAAACAAGGGGACCAAGAAAAATAATTGATACAATTAATAATGTATTTTTCACCATTAAGAATTTTTCACCAATTTCACCATTTCTCCATGCAATTTTCCACCATTAAAAAATCCTCGCTAACGTCTTATTAATGAATAAAATTTGAGATATTAATTCTAAAGCGCGACGTGACTTTATCTTTGCTGAATTAAGTACTACTAATTGTTTTACAAACAACTCTTCAATATCATTGAGTCGCTGTGCAATCAGTATCTTCGCAATGATAGTGCATTTGAATAGTTCAACCATTATGATTTTAACTTAAATAATTTTCCGATTGAGAAGATATCGATTGCATATTAAAAAAACTGCTAAATTTTTCTGCAAAAAGCAGAGTTACATAACTTACTTCACCAATGTTGTCGTTGAAAAACTTCATCACCTCCTCACCAACACAATCCTTTGGTATATTGCCAACATATACTGTACGACGGATTTCTTCTACTTTTGATGCTTCTGTATTTGCACTCAGTGTAGGATACGGTGGTAAGCCAAGTGCCGCCAATGTTGGATCCACTGTAAGCAACTGAAAATAGCATGGCAATTTAAAAAACTATCAGCAAAGATTAGGGACTATGTCTTCTGAATTTCACCAGCTCGTAACGACGTAACTCAAACAGTTGTTTTTTTTTTTGAACACATAAGCAAAAATTTTCATTTTGCATGTGCACATGTTAATAAAGCACATTATGCTACTCAATTTAAAAAACAATTGTTTGATGTGGAAGAATATTACGAGCTGCAGGTAAAACTTAGTTTCCTTTTCATGTAAACTAAAAATATAGACACATGTATGCTCAGAACAAGGGCCGTCTTGGTGCTGAGATGCCACGGAGGACCCACCAAATTCCGGCTTCGGTATTGCACAATCTGTATTTGTATATGTAGATGTGTGATTTCACAATTCAATCACTCTATACCAATTTACTGAAATAGAAATTTAAATAAAAATAATAAGACAGCTGCTGCTGAATTTTTCTGTTAAAGCAATCTCCATGAACTTGGCTCCGAAAATAACGGCCAAAGAATTCCATCCAGCAAAATGCCATGTTTCTCTGCTATTCTGGACTTTTTTCGAACCTTCAAAAATTTACAGCTTCTCTCAAATCAGCGGAAACGCATGTAATGGGATGGACAAGAGAATAAACACTAACTACCTAAGAATATAATCTTAAACCAGATGGGTTCATAAATTAACACAACAAAGTTTGTTGAGGTTACAATGCCGACCCATCGTTCAATTCAATTCACCAACTTTGTCGATTTAAATTTCTTCAGAAGATTTCACACTGTCTATCACTTGGTAAAACAGACCCTCTAGTGTCTTAATTGATAACTAAATCAGAGATCTTAAGCGACAAACAGCAATAAGCGTTTCAACGGCGATCTGTAATCGACAAAACTGAAACAAATGAAACACACATTATAGCTTAAGTCCGTTTTCCTAACATTAATGTGGTCAAATTTAAAATAGAGGTGAAATGGGAAGAGTTGTTTCACCCTCAAATCTCTCACTTTTACCTTCTCTCTTCCCATCTCGATCAGCTGCTGTCTAAAAAAACTGATTTCGATTTAATAATTTAACGTAATCAAAAATAAAATAACCATTTGTTGCCCGTCTCCCAAATCCTGGATTTGATTAACAACATTTGGTGGTAACTGACGCTGTCCTGGCCACGCTGGTCCACCTGTTTTCAACGCTGTGTCTTCATCGGGTATTGTATCTACAAATATGTTTTTTATTATATTAAATTTATAGATTTTCCCAGTTGAGAACTAGTAAGTCCGGCCTTCTATAAGTCAAACAACTACTACTATTAATCAAAAGATCAATGAATAGACTGATAGCTTTCAAATACTCGATAGATAGACCATAGATAAGAAACGAACAAGACGGTTTGTATTTACAGTCCAGCAAAATTAGTTGCAACATGAAAATTGTATACTACATAACAATTTACTAATTCAAGGCGGATCTGCTTCAGCTTTGGAGACAAACAACTAAAAGTTTATAAATTTGAGCAGAAAAAAAATAATTGAACCTGATATAGATGGGATGCAAACAAGAGCACGATCGATAAAGACGGTGTTCGTCAGATGCTGCGCTACCTCGACTGATTTCTGATCTTCAAATTTAACGTACGCAAATTTCTGAGTAAATGTCGATAATTGTGGATGATTATCAGAAGGGTAAATCTGAACGAATTCAATTATTATTGAACAAGCAGTGAAGAGTGTTACTATCCACGGTAAACTTCCTTCTCAATTCTGAGAAATTTCCTTCTCATCCCTGAATAATTTCCTTTAGGAACAATCAGAAATAATCACGAGATAGATGATAAAGCACTCTTCGTCCCCATCATTTTTTCCATCTCCCCGTTGGAAGTTGGATTCTGGCATCGATAAAAATCAAATCAAATTATGAAGGCGAAAACCAAGGCTAAGAGCACATATAACGATACAACACCTAGAATAAATTTTTCTTGTATTACAAGTTGACAGTTTAATTCTATAAGTATAATAATAGATCTGACCTTGAATTCATCAATCCGTCCAATAAAAGCGAAGAGTTGATATATCTGCTCACGTGTTGCTGTCATCGAAATATTGCTAACGTGTAGCACGCGAAATCGTGGCTCATCGGCACCCATTGCTGCAACAAAATTCTATTTCTCTTTAAGAATTCAAACACACAGCACAATCCTAATGAAGAAAGATCAAAGAATGATATAATAATTCGTGCAGTGAGTAGAATTTACACCCCTTCCCCCAAATATTGTTACCATTCCTCCAAAATTAGCCTATAGCTTAAACTCCGCGTTACGATTGTTTATCTCTAACCTAGAGAAATAGCTATGAACTTAAAAAAAAATAAAATATATGAGGAGGATTCGAAACGAAATGAAAGAGAAATGACTTTTGTGGTATAAATAAGCGTAAGAAATATATTCAAGCAATGGATTGGCAAAGAGTGTAATTCACTGCAGGGATTTGCAAGTTGTATTAAGCAACAGAAAAGATACCATCTTCAAATTAGTGTACTGACCAGAGCATAACTACTCGCTTCTTTCAGCTTAAAGTCCTCTCGAAGTTAATCAAAATAAAGCCTAAATAAATTGCCCTTCTAGCAAGCTCAAATCAATCAGACTAATTTTAGATGATGATGAAACAAAATAATGAATTGATATGAAAATGATAGGTTGTTGAGAAAGAGAAATAAAACGACTATAATAGATAAGAAAGCAGATCAGCATTAGCCTACGACATCCCTCTCAATCGAGATTTAATAAACTCAAAGCGACACGCCTACCAATTAGTGCCAGTACGTATTCAATCCAGTCCTCATCGTTGCAGAGTATTTTATAGTTTTACACATTCTATGGGACTTTATGCAATGAAAGCATATCGCAGTGCATGAATTTGTAAATTTCTGTCAAAGTGCCTATATTTGCTGTACTAATAACTTGTAACAATTTGCTATGTTTAATCATTTGCCTATTACATGAAATCGAACTGGCTTCCATTACTTTATTTAACGTACTTATCCACTACAGCCATTTATTCTTTTGTTTTCATATTACCAAAATTCACTGTTTTCACATACTAAGGATGTTTATCTTATGCAGAGGAATTATCGCAAATTTTGCATCTCTTGCCAGTTTATCAATATAAGGAGTAGAAAAGGGCTAATCACGGTTATGTTTTTATTGCACTTCCGTTGAGCAGTCCATCGGTCGGTAATGTCAGGTGGTAATTCATGTATTTCGATTCCGATGCTTTATGAATGTGATGTAAAATTGAATTATTTGTACTATACAAATACAAATATACATGTCACATGAAAAACTTAGTGCTCGCTAATATTAGGGGATTATTGAGGAATAAGTTCTATTATGCTTGTGGCTGGAATGATGGGGAAGAATATTTGAGGTGCGGAAAATGAGGAATAGCATCCGGCTAATATGCACACAGCATAGAATATAAAGTTAAATAGATAAAGATCTTTATTGCGCGAGAAAAGATTAACAAGATTAACTCTTCATAATTGTTGTGAACTTGAATTGAACCTGGAATTGGATTGATTTGAGTTGGTTAGTTTGTTGGTTGATTGGCTGATTAGTTGGTTGGTTGGTTTGTTGGTCGCCAGACTCCTCGATTGATAGGTTGGTTAGTTGGTTGAATGGTAATCTGATGCCTCGATTGATACTTGGTTAGTTGGTTGACTGCTTGGTAATCTCACTGACTTTCCACCTCCAACCGGTCCTTTTATATCCCAGACATTTGTAAGGAGGAGCTTACAATGAACGGAATTCCCATGCAGGGATAGGGATATGGTACACCAAAAAATGGTAATTCACATGACAAGGAACACACTCGTGAGAAGAAACGGTTTTATAATCTGAAGGCGGTTAAACATGATGGGAACGTTTAGATTAGTTATTCGGAACAAAAATAATTGTTGAGATAAGGATTAAAGTGCGAATTAGGTTTGGAATGTGAAAATTAACGGAACCATTACAAATGATGAATCATTAAGAAGAAATCTTTAGTATAATT